ATTATATAGGCTAGACTAACATGATGTTTAGACGCTTCGTTTAACTATTATACGTGATGTACCTTTTTTAGGGGTAGTTAATGAAAGTGTTCCAAAACGCGACATTAATTTCTTGACGACCTAATATATATAACAAATGTATTTTTATAGCGAAACTTTACATCTCACTAATTTGAAATCATACCGGAAAGTTAACCTACATGTAAAAATACACTCTCTCACACACACACACACACATATATATATATATACATATATACTATACAAACGAACAAACTAGATATGAAAGTACACATAGATACTGTACATATGAAAATGAAACAAAATGAATTAAATAAATAAAAAAATCATTAAGTTATTATATAAGTTATAGGGAAGCTGAAGCTGCTTACCTAAAGGATCTCAAACTCCAAATCATCCTATGCAGACGAGGATTTCTGTGCTCCATAGAGGTCTGGGAAATAACCTCTCTGGTTTTCAGAAGAGCCTTCCAAGTTCTTTTCAGATCCTTCAACGATGACCTAAATCTTCTTCTAGCTGCTTTGTCAGCTTTCTGAAATTTAGTAGACGGTCTTTATTACAATTGTATAATGTCCAGGCCTCCATCTATTTAGTTGCCTGATCTTGGCAATGGAATTTTTGCACTGGACTTAGATTCTTATTTTATCCTCTCCTTAACTCCTTGGGGAACTGGGTCCTGCATTGAATTGGCATGCTGGATAGTTGGCACACTAGATATCAAGATGTCGAAAGATACCATATTCCCTGTCTTCATTATCTGAGCAACTACTGGTAAGGTGGATATTGGTAACTTCCAATGTTCCAGGGTTTGGAGGGCTAGCCTTCATGTCAGACACATCATCAAGTAATACATCTTCATCCATAGGTTCTAAAGGCATGAACATGATGCCAGCCTCTGGAATTGTTGGTAGTACCAGAAGCTCCAGAAAATCTGAATGTGGAAAAGAAAAGACTCACCAATACTTCCATCCAACACTATAGTGCAAAGATAAGAATTGGAAACAGTAACTAAGAGAATACTTGACTCCAGCTGTCAGGTTGAAATCTGATAGTCAGAAGACTTACAAGTCTGTTCTTAAATAGAAATGTCAGAATTGAAAATGCAAGGTCAAACTATTTCTATTTGGACAAAAAATCTTGATCAAAAGTGTTATTTAAAGTTATAATGTCCTGGGTAGAAAAATTCCTTTCAGGACCAGAGTGTGAAAAATGAAAAACTAACCTGTGGTTAAGCTTTATGTTTGCAGACTTATGTGTGCGCATGCTTAACCTGCTTGTAGGACATGATCCCTACTACTTTTAGACAGCTCAACTGATGCAGGAATCCTTGCGTTTCGAGCTTGAACTACATCCAAGCTGGTTCTCTGGTATCGTCATGGTAATGATGATGGTAACAGCTATTACGGATCCCCACTGCATTCCCTCTACTACCATCTCATTGTTATTCAAAATTGAACCCGGGTCTAGTAGGAACAAAATGGAGGGGTGGAATGTAGAGTTAAGGACACAAACTACTAACTAAAATCAATAAATGCTGTGGTGGAGCTAACCTAATTTATCTAACCAAGGAAATTCATTAACACTCACAACTTGTCTCCCTATCGACTTTTGCAGACAAAAGCTCAGCACAGATGACAGCAACCACATCTCATCATAAATATACTTCTTACCTCCAGTGTTACATGCACAATTTGGAGTTTTTGTGTATTGTAACTGACCTTGTACTGAAAATATTAAGAATATTGTTTGTAATTAAGAACACAGCTACACAATGGGCTATCTGTGCTCTTCCCACTACGGGTATCGATACTGGGTTTCTAGTGTTGTAACTTCGTAAACATACTACTGTGTCATTGGGAGGGAGCGAAATATTAAGAATATACTCAGAAAATTGAGCTCTTTTGAAATAGTTTATGTTAGATATACACGACTGTTTAAGTTTAAGTTTAATACAAGTGTTACCATTTAGATAGTTTGTATACTGAGAGTATTAGGTTTAGTTATTTTTAGAAGGAATAGTTTATCGCAAGCTTGTTTACGTAACTGTTTACGAATTATAGTTGTGTTGTTCAATAGTTATGAATTGGTGGTTGGTACATTATTACGTCATGTTACAAGAAACTTCCAAGTTTTTCTCGTTGTTTTAATTTATTATTATTGCATTATAATATCTAGTAGTGTGTCGAAAATTCCAGACCTCTGTCTATATATAAATACGCATCAAAAGTGTATTTAAAGAGATAGATTTAGACTGAGTGATTGTGAATTTAACGATAAAGAGCATAGAGTGGTGATTCGTAAAGTTAAAGTATCATTAATTGTATTGTAATAACAGAACAGAGAATAATAATTCGTCTTCTCAATTGCGTTCTAAAGTAATTTAACCAGCCTGTGTGGACTGTGATGAAAAAGAGACAATTATTTAAAGCTCTGGATACAACTGTGGTAACCAAAAGAGTAATAAACATTTGTATATATGTTTGACTTGTTTTAATATATTACTTTAAAACAAGTGGACCGTGTAGCTGTTTGTGTGTTGTTGAAATTTATCGCCAACAAGTCACAGATACCTACTGTAAAGAATCCAGACCATACAAAAACCTGACAGTTTGATCTACTTGATTGAACATATTTCAACATAATCAAATAAAACGTTGGGTACACCAAGTTTATGTTTGTTACACTATGTGCTATAGTTAATAAATTTTACTTTCCACAGCTAATTCAACCCCTCTCACTCACATTTCAGTTCAACCCAACTGAAATTTTTCTGGCCAACACTTGTGAAACACAGATATAGATAAAACTGTGTTTTTCTATGTATGTGGCATGAATCTAGCTATTACTTTTACCTCTTTCCATAAAATTCATTACCTGCTGAATGTTCCCATTATCAAACTGAAACATTCTCACACCAGCATTAATAAAAACAGGCAGGCTGTTTCTCCAAATAATGCCTTACAGGCCAGTAACCGCAGTGAACTCTTCAGAACTTGAGGTGTTAACATTCCAATCATATTCTTTTATTTTCATTCAAAGGTTGCCTACTGGTTTTGTTTTCACTGATTGATTCATTTTGTGTTGTACAACACTTATGAATGACCTTGTGTAAAGTTTCATATATATATATATAAATTATATATATATATATATATATATATATATATAC